TTTTTATGGCGGAGCCATGAGTTGATGACGTTTAGTCGACTAAACCCCCTCTCACCGTTGCCAGAATGTTATGATGCTTATATTATGTAGGGTGTAGTGGGGTAGCTCATAAGGGGTTCAACCTAATTAGGGTTAGTACTTGTACCCACATTGATCATAGTTCATTTATTCTTGCTCAGTCTCTTGACATGGTTACAGAGCAGGTCTTGTTTCAGGACCGTGTTTTTTGGGACCACCGCATAGTTCCGTGCCAGTAGCGCTGCCCCACTTGTCGCGCTGCCCCACTAAAGTCCGTATAACAATTGCACATTCGTATAGGTAGTTGGTCCACCATTCGTATAAAGCAAAGCGTTAATAGTAGTACAAAGTCTTTCTAGACAGCACCAAACCTATTGATGAACGACAAGGACCGACGATCAAAGGAACGGACAATATGTAGTGTGTGAATGATAGACTTTGCCTCTACCACTTGAAACTTCACCTCCCGTTGCGCCTCACGCAACAGAGTGCATGACGTCAAACCGTCGACGTCACCAACGTCATAATACCGCACGTAAGCAAATGGTTTCTTCACGACTCGTCCGTCCTGCACAATGTCCACATGGAAGAGTAGCAGAAGCTGTGCATACCACGTCGTGAGAATGCGGGCGCCCATGTGACCATCTTCCTCCCCGAGGATGGCCACGTATGAGAAGCAAGGTGCATCATGGTAGGTCAGAGCAGCACGGGCGTAATGCGCCTCAAAGTCATCGCCAGGGGGCAGGGCCAACGTCGTGTGGACCTGTCAGTCAAGAGATGTCGTGTGTTAAAGCACCGGTTAATAGACATGGGGATGTGATGCGAGATGAATGTGTGAAATACATGCTTACCTCCACACTGTGACAATCTTTGCCGATGTTCTGGAGCATACTCGGCAGGCTGCGCATTCCGGCCCCATGGTGCTCTACAAAAGAACCCCACAAAGCATTGCCCGCTAACCCCCTCTCTTGACATGGTAGAGTCATCGTCTGGCTGCGGGTGGTCAAGACTTGGGTTTTTAGAGTGATAGCCTGTAGTCATGAAAAATGCAAAATAATAACGTCCAAAATATGCTTCAATGGACATTAATACACACTTTTCTAACAAGGGAATGAACATATGTGTTTCTAGAATCATACGCAGTTGTCCAACAAATGAATACTTACTTTCAGCAGAGCAGTCTCGTAGATGCTATGCTTCTCCAACATCGTAGGGAGCAACGATAGAGCATTTCGCATCACTGAGCTCTGAAGGATGGCGGTGTCGTATTGCCGGTGGTTGCTTGCTCTGAACGGCCTCTTGCACGTGGCGGTGTGCGCGTGTTCAAACAGGCTTGTGCAATACTCCCGAGGAAGGCCTCCCTGGCGGATGGCATCCGGGAAGTGGAGCAGCAGGTGTACCTTCACCAATTTCCAACCATTACCGCCCCGAGGGAGGTTGCTATTGAGCAAGCGGATGAGCCTAAAAAGGAAACAAGTCGGAAACAGGAGGGCAGAACATTTTCCAATCATTGAAGAGGTCAACATATTTCACATATTTTCATTACTGTTTTCATAGCACAGAAACAGGCGCATCTAGATCTTACTCTTGGGTATCCTTAATGTATTGCGTCAGCATTGCCTCGGTGTATGACTTTGCCCGAAAGTACACGTCAAACCAGTTGACAAAGAACCGTAGGATGTACAGCGCCGCACTTCCAACCAGGTTTTCCATGATGAACACCACTACCTGCAGATCAAGTGTAACAGGAATAGAAGGGAGAATTCTCATTACGCATAGAGGGGTTGCATCACCCTATTTGGGACGCTTGTGTTAGAGAGAACAGAGTTGATGCAGAATCATCGTTGTACCGTTGTACCGAGCCATGTACTAGTTGTCAACATGTCAAACGTTAAACTACTTACTCGCAGCATTGCAGCATGATCGGCTGCTGAAAAGTTCACACCGAGACTGAAGTACCGTCCTAGAGGTGGAAGTGGAATGCCTGCCACTCTAGCTTCTCTGTAAAGGTCCCTGTGTCTCCTGTAACGTTATCGCACACAAAAAGTTTGAGAGGGGTGTAATAGGAATATATGGTGATAAACAGAGCTGCAATTCCACATCACTCACTCATTCATGGTCTTTATGTTCTTGTTATGCCATACTAGAGCCTCCACAATGTACACCCAGATCCCAATGAGAATGACATGAAGTACATCGGGTGAGATGACATTGTAGGGATTACCCCAGTTGGTTTTCGCGTCCTGCTGTCTTCCAAAATGCCACAAGAAGCTCTGGAACGGGTCACACGAACAACATACTAACCGTTTGTAAATACACGGCACAAACAATTGCAACATATGTTGAACACATTCAATCATGTAAAAAGGAGAATGTTGGACAGCTCGCTAACACTTATATAATAGAAACAGGAGGGTATTTACAATATGAAAAGGCATGCGCTAAGTTTACACTCACGTCCATCATGACTGTAGAGTACTCCTTTGCGAGTTTCGGGTCCTTCGCATATATAGACTGCCTCTCGACATCCCGGTTGTCAATGATGTCTGGATCCATGTGATCCAACTTCGACTTCTCCACATAGCATATTGAGCAAGGTCTTGCGGAGTTGTGTTGCATAGTGCAGGTCACTTTACACGTCTCTGGATAATCTGCAACGTATTGGAAGAGCTTGGGCCACACGGTGAACACCTTGCCGTTGGGGTCCGTTAAGGGCAATGATCTGCACCGCACGAACACATAAATTTTAGATATCTAACCACATACATACAAGGAGACAACACAAGGGTGTAAAACGTACGTCTTGCACAGCCCACTGAAGCCTTTGAAAACAACATCACAAGATTTCTGAAACAACTCCACCTTCTGCCATGCCTCCATTTCTGGATCAGGTTGTGGCAAAAGTGCGATGAGGGCGTGACCATGCTCCTTCCATCGTGTCTCGACGGGGAGATTGGCAAACGTCAAGTACACCGGCCAAGCCCGGCAGCGCTCGTTCCCACTAAGTGTGGTCTCATCGCTCGAAAGAATGAGCGGACACACACACTCAGATGGACTCTTCCCTTGCTGGGGTGGGAACACAATAAGAAAGGTTAGACAACACATTAGGTTTTTGTTCATCATGCACACATAACATCTACGCACTAAGAACCCAAGGGACATATGTACCTGAGCTCCCAGCCAAAAATTCCCCGTGTCTGCCCCTTCATACACACGACCCTCATTCATCATTTTGACGTGTGGCTTGTGGATGAAGCCTGGAGCATTGCGCATGTCCCCCCACATTCTTTCCAGGGCCTGCAACATGGGAAAGATTAAGAGAATGATCAGTCAAACACACAATGGAAGGGTCCGACTGCGTGTGTGTGTCCATCATGAAACTGTGTGTGTGAGTCTATCATCAATTCTGATCAATAATACCTGCTTGATGTCGACACTCTTGACGGTGAAGCTGGATGGCCACCCTCGAACCGAGATGAGGTGCGACTGAAACTGAAGCTTGTCGCTTCCAAGCATCTGCATGCCGTAAGCATCTACAGCGGCCTTAGTTGACCATCCTAGCAATTCCGATGGATCGAAGTCCGGATCTTTAACTAGTCTAAAGAAATAACTAGTGTCGGGAGCGCTAGCGCCCGTCCCTTTGTTACACGACTGCAAGAACCTAAATCTCTCTAAACGGGTGTTAAACTTCCTAGGCTCCTCCTCCTCCCCAAACTCGGCTTGGGCATCATGGAAGTCGTCTATTTCGATGCAATCATCCCCAACTACAGGCTCTGCCTCTAACGGTGCAGATTGCGCCCCAAACACGAATGGTAACGGTGGTGGTAGGTATACAGGCTGCAAAGGAGGGACTAGAATTCCCCTACGAGTCGGCGGAGTTTCAAACGCATTCCTCTCCTGAATTGCTAAACACTCTTGATTGCACCGCTGGTGATTCACTAGAGCTAGGTCGCACTGGTATTTTTTACCGCAATGACGACACACGAAGATATCCATCTTGGGGCTCTGGGATCTGCGAGAATAACCCAAAAACAAGTCCGTTACTCAACATCAGACGTGGTGTTGGGCATACATTGATGAAAGGATGACAAGGCAGAGACTCACCAAAGCCACAAGCCTTATGTCGTCATAGATATGAGCACGACGTCTATCCAAGTCTGCACGAGTGGACCTTGTGGCAGCAGAAGCCTGCAAAATTCACTAGACAAAAGATTCAACATTTACACTCGTATATGCACTTTCAAAACAACAAAATGATTCACACAGGCATAAGCATTACATGGAAACGCAGTAGTCCATCTCGGACCTGCCGCCAGAGGCTAAGATCTCTCCGATGTAACGGCACATTCACACTAGTCAGGTACACTGACCACTGGAGGCGTGGGGAAGAGCCAACAGAGACAGCAATGTCTCCCAGCGCCACTAACAACAAAGGCCATAGCCTCCAGTTTGAATGTGGAACTGGCAGCGAGACGCTCCACACCACCCGTGAGGCCTCCTCTGGCACAACCAGCGGCGGCATGTCGTCATCGAGTTCATTACCTGTTGAAACAACCTCCGACTCCACTCTGCATTAAATCACAATGCAACAATTTGGAGAGTGATTGTTACACACATAAATAAAACAGTTAAGGCACATATGATCTGACTTGGATTAGCTTGTACAACAACAAACCCAACTCCCGGCGATAACTCACATGTATTGGGCAGGGTCGACCATGTGTAGCGCGGGACGAGCCTGCCCGGCACTCGTCAGGATACTTGTGTAGTAGCTTCGCTCAGAATGGGATCCTGCATGAGAAAAAATCGTAGCAATTGGTTAGAACATGGATGGGGATGGCAAAGTTCGTTGGATGGCAAGAGACCGGCGGTCAGATGACGGGAGAGGGAAACAGGAATAGAATGGGGTTAGGAAAGAGGCGGGTTTGGCAAACGTCGGGTATTGGGATGGAAAAAGAGAGGCGCCAGTCAAGGGTGGTTTGTCACCCGCGAGGAATATGCGAGTGGGGATGGTAAGGGAGAGAGTGGGTGGAGATGGTAAGGGAGAGAGTGGGTAGGATGGTAAGGGAGAGAGTGGGTGGGGATGGTAAGGGAGAGAGTGGGTGGGGATGGTTAGGGAGAGAGAGGGTGGGGATGGTAAGGGAGAGAGTGGGTGGGGATGGTAAGGGAGAGAGTGGGTAGGGATTGTAAGGGAGAGAGTGGGTGGGGATGGTAAGGGAGAGAGTGGGTGGGGATGGTAAGGGAGAGAGTGGGTAGGGATGGTAAGGGAGAGAGTGGGTAGGGATGGTAAGGGAGAGAGTGGGTGGGGATGGTAAGGGAGAGAGTGGGTGGGGATGGTAAGGGAGAGAGTGGGTGGGGATGGTAAGGGAGAGAGTGGGTGGGGATGGTAAGGGAGAGAGTGGGTGGGGATGGTAAGGGAGAGAGTGGGTAGGGATGGTAAGGGAGAGAGTGGGTAGGGATGGTAAGGGAGAGAGTGGGTGGGGATGGTAAGGGAGAGAGTGGGTGGGGATGGTAAGGGAGAGAGTGGGTGGGGATGGTAAGGGAGAGAGTGGGTAGGGATGGTAAGGGAGAGAGTGGGTGGGGATGGTAAGGGAGAGAGTGGGTGGGGATGGTAAGGGAGAGAGTGGGTAGGGATTGTAAGGGAGAGAGTGGGTGGGGATGGTAAGGGAGAGAGTGGGTGGGGATGGTAAGGGAGAGAGTGGGTGGGGATGGTAAGGGAGAGAGTGGGTGGGGATGGTAAGGGAGAGAGTGGGTAGGGATGGTAAGGGAGAGAGTGGGTGGGGATGGTAAGGGAGAGAGTGGGTAGGGATTGTAAGGGAGAGAGTGGGTGGGGATGGTAAGGGAGAGAGTGGGTGGGGATGGTAAGGGAGAGAGTGGGTAGGGATTGTAAGGGAGAGAGTGGGTGGGGATGGTAAAGGAGAGAGTGGGTGGGGATGGTAAGGGAGAGAGTGGGTGGGGATGGTAAGGGAGAGAGTGGGTGGGGATGCTTGCCAATCAACTCTCTCGATACGCTGCTCTTGAGTCGAGATAGGCCGAGGGTTCATCGATCAGATAGATGTCGGCAGGCTGGAGAAACGAGAAAGTGGAAGAGGGGGAGAAAGGGAAAAAAGGGAAGGATGAACCGCTTGATGACCGTGGCTGCCACAATGCGCTGCTCTTGAGTCGAGATAGGCCGATGGATCGTCAATGAGGTAGATGCCACCAAGGCAGAGGGAAATAGCAACGCACCTTCCCAAAGCAGAGGGAAATAGCCACGCACCTTCCCAAGGCTGAGGGAAATAGCCACGCACCTTCCCAAGGCAGAGGGAAATAGACACGCACCTTCCCAAGGCAGAGGGAAATAGCGACGCACCTTCCCAAAGCAGAGGGAAATAGCCACGAACCTTCCCAAGGCAGAGGGAAATAGCCACGCACCTTCCCAAGGCAGAGGGAAATAGCCACGCACCTTCCCAAGGCAGAGGGAAATAGCGACGCACCTTCCCAAAGCAGAGAGAAATAGCCACGCACCTGCGGGTGGTGGAACGAGTCGCGGATCTTGGAGTGTAGCAGCGCGCGCACGCTGTGGGGGAACTTGGGGGAGATCTTCTGCGGCTTGTACGACACGTTGAACTCCGGGAGGTCCTCGGCCTCCTTGCCGGTCTCCTCGTCCGGGTCAGCCTTTAAGAGACCAGCCTGTAAGCGGTTGAGAAGGACACAGGAGAGCGGAAAGGAGAGGAACGAGATGGTATGAGAGGGGGAACTTGCGGCTGATCTTCTGCGGCTTGTACGACATGTTGAACTCCGGGAGGTCCTCAGCTTCTTTCCCGGTCTCCTCGTCTGGATCTGTCTTCAAGAGGCCGGCCTGGAGGGGTTCAGAACGAGACAGGAGAGGAGAGGGGAGGAGGGAGGAGAGTAACGCAGAAAACTTGGGGCTAGGCTGGTCTTCTGCCGCCTGTACGACACACTGGAATCCGGGAGATCTTCGGCTTCCTTGCCGGTTGATTCGTCCAGATCGGCCTTTAACAGCCCAGCCTGTGTGATATAGGGGAGAAGGGAGACAAGACACGGGGGATCGAAGTGGAAGGGGAAGAAAAGGGGACGGAGAATGAGTATGGGAAGGGAAAATTGGGGCTGGGCTGATCTTCTGCGGCTTGTACGGCACGTTGAGCTGCTCGGGCTGGTCTTCTGGGCTGCTCGGGAAGACCTTCGGCCTCCTTACCGGTTTCCTCATCTGGTTCCGACCCGCCTGGAAGGGAGAGAGGAGGGATGGAAGTTGGATTATGGAAGGGACAGGGAGCAGAGAGAGCCAAAGAGACGTGCAAGCTGGCGATACTGGGCAACGCGGAAACGGGAAACGGGAAGGAAACGGGAAGGAAACGGGAAGGAAACGGGAAACGAAAAACGAGAAGGAAACGGGAATTTAGGAGCCAAAGACTGGCCCAACCGGTATGCATATGACACGACAGTCGGCCTATTCGCTCTTCGGAAGCATGTGGCATGGTAGGGGCACATGCGAGTTGGGCTACCCGCCTACCTGCCTACCAGCAGCCATGCACAGGTGAGAGAGCTGGCCTACCAGCACGCGCACACATGAGAGACAGCTTCCCTACCAGCTTCTCCCCAGCATCACCACAATCTGCGAGTCTGTGCCTTGCATCCACTGCCACCCCTACCTATGGTGCACACATGTGCCTGCCTACCAGCATGCCGATGAGAACTTTCCTACCAGCAAGCATGTCCACGCGAGAGAGAGTTGATTGGCCTACCAGCAAGCATGTCCACGCGAGAGTGGGTGGGGATGGTAAGGGAGACTGGTGTTTGACACCCTAAACGTCCGAGATCTGGGCGTGCAAGGGCTATGTCACCGTGAAACGAACGGGCGCACGGGGGCGTGACGCGCTAAGATCCAGCGCAGATCCGCGTTACCGCACCGAACGCCTTCTGTTGCCGCGCAGATCGCCGCCCGTTGCCGACAGTAATCCGGCCGTCCCCGCCCAGATCAGCGCGGCAGTTGCCGCCCGGATCGCCTCCCGGTATCGCCCAGAAAGCCGGCTTGTTCCGCCCAGATCCGCGCGGCCTATCGTTAGATCCCCCGTCCGTCTCTGTGCCGCACAGCAAGATCTGTGCTCAAATTCGCGTGAGGCAGGGTAGACAATGGCAGGGAGCACGGGACTTAAAGGTATGTTAATGTGTCGAGATCGGCAGGAGCAGACGAAACTGATTGCTGCCGCACGTCAGTATTCGGGATAGATTCGCACGTGGGGCTAGAAAATCGGGACATTGAGAGTGCTGTACAGAGACACGGAAATCTGCTGGAAACAGGAACAAACACTAGGCGGAATGCCTCATGGACTGATCATGGTGAATCATCGATGTAAGTGTGAGACGAACGGGAATAGGGAACACACGTGGGGAACATAAGTACCCAGGCGTGAAATCGTGTGTGCAGATTGCCCGTGCCGCTCGTTTCCGTACCTGCTATTTACTTTCGACAAAAAGACTCAGGGTGCGCCCGTATTCGTCGCTTGGACACTTTGTTGGCGCTACACTACAGAGGTTACGGGATCACTGAGAAGCTCAAGAAAACAGAGAATACAATTCGATAACGGAGAAAACTAGAGAGCTAGGCATGCAAATGAGAGGAACCATGGGAGAGGAGGAGAAGGTTGGAGAAGATGTGGCATTGCCACTCACCACACTTCTTGCCAACAGGTTGATGGCCAGAACAGGACAACAGTCAAGTTGTTTCCACATGAGCCAAGGTTAGCATAGAAATCCACTTGGCAGCATTCCATTTATTGATGCCACCCATCCCCCCCACTAGACCTAGGGGTGCATGTTGTCATTGTTCTCTAGAGCTCCAAACCACTACTATGCTACAGTATTGCTCCCCACCAACACACCAAGGACATCCAACAAAGGACAACAAGACCACCACAAATAACAAAAACAACACCTCATACAACAACAACACCACAACTAGACCTAGGGGTGCATGTTATCATTGTTATCTAGAGCTCCAAACCACTACTTTGCTATAGTATTGCTCCCCACCAACACACCAAGGACATCCAACAAAGGACAACAAGACCACCACAAATAACAAAAACAACACCTCATACAACAACACCACAACTAGACCTAGGGGTGCATGTTGTCATTGTTCTCTAGAGCTCCAAACCACTACTATGCTACAGTATTGCTCCCCACCAACACACCAAGGACATCAACAAAGGACAACAAGACCACCACAAAGAACAAAAACATCACCTCATACAACAACAACACCACAATTAGACCTAGTGGTGCTTGTTGTCATTGTTATCTATAGCTCCAAACCACTACTCTGAAACAGTATTGCTCCCCTACCACACACCAAGGACATCCAACAAAGGACAACAAGACCACCACAAAGAACAAAAAAAACACCCCACACAACAACAAGACCACAACTAGACCTAGTGGTGCATGTTGTCATTGTTCTCTAGAGCTCCAAACCACTACTATGAAACAATTTTGCTGGAGTCTAACACACCAAGGACCTCCAACAAAGGACAAACACACCATCACAAAGGACAACATCAACACCACATGGAACAACAACAAGAATGTATCGTCATTATTGTTGAATTTAAGGACCAAGAACAATATCCCCACACATTAAAATCTGATTGGTTAATGTTGATATTGAATCCACTCTAAAAAAAATGCATGTGCTAAACAGGTTAGAATGTGAAACACATAGCTTTGTTGTGGCCAGCGACGAAGCCTCACACGTTGTCCGAATGACTCGATACGAGGATGGTAGCCTTGTAACATCACGTGTAAGGGATCCATGCGCTCAAATACGTGCGCAAGAATCACCGGGATGCCATTTCACAGCACTCGTTCGCTCCCTGCCTGTCAATGCACGGTTCCCTGTATAGCTTTGTTTTGCGCAGCGACGAAGCCTCTCACGTTGTCCGAATGACACGATACGTGGATGGTAGCCTTGTGAGAGCATGTGTAAGGGATCCATGCTCTCAAATACGTGTGCGACAATCACCGGGACGGCAAACTCCCTCCAGTCGAGCGTTCCCAGCCTGTCCTTGCACGGTTCCCTGTTTAACTTTGTTCTGCACAGCGACGAAGCCTCTCACGTTGTCCGAATGACTTGATACGAGGATGATATCCTTGTTAGAGCACGTGTAATGGATCCACGTGCTCAAATACGTGTGCAACAATCACTGGGACGTCATTCGACAACACTTGTTCGCTCGCTGCCTGTCCTTGCACGGTTCCCTTTATAGCTTTGTTGTGGCCAGCGACGAAGCCTCACACGTTGTCCGAATGACTCGATACAAGGATGGTAGCCTTGTAAGATCACGTGTAAGGGATCCATGCGCCCAAATACGTGCGCGAGAATCACCGGGACGCCATTCCACAACACTCGTTCGCTCCCTGCCTGTCAATGCATGGTTCCCTGTATAGCTTTGTTTTGCGCAGCGACGAAGCCTCTCACGTTGTCCCAATGACACGATACGTAGATGGTAGCCTTTTGAGAGCATGTGTAAGGGATCCATGCTCTCAAATACGTGTGCGCCAATCACCGGGACGGCATTCGACACCAGTCGTGCGTACCCAGCCTGTCCTTGCACGGTTCCCTGTATAGCTTTGTTCTGCATAGCGACGAAGCCTCTCACGTTGTCCAAATGACTCGATACGAGGATGATATCCTTGCTAGAGCACGTGTAATGGATCCACGTGCTCAAATACGTGTGCAACAATCACCGGGACGTCATTCGACAACACTTGTTCGCTTGCTGCCTGTCCTTGCACAGTTCCCTGTATAGCTTTGTTCTGGCCAGCGACGAAGCCTCACACGTTGTCCGAATGTCTCGATACGAGGATGGTAGCCTTGTAAGATCACGTATAAGGGATCCATGCGCTCAAAGACGTGCGCGAGAATCACCGGGACGTCATTCCACAACACTCATTCACTCCCTGCCTGTCAATGCACGGTTCTCTGTATGGCTTTGTTTTGCGCAGCGACGAAGCCTCTCACGTTGTCCGAATGACACGATACGTGGGTGGTAGCCTTGATAGAGCATGTTTAAGGGACCCATGCTCTCAAATACGTGTGCGACAATCACGGGACGTCATTCAATAACACTCGAGCGTTCCCAGCAAGTATTTGCACGGTTCCCAGTGTAGCTTTGTTCTGCGCAGCAAGAAAGCCTCTCACGTTGTCTGAATGACACGATACGTGGATGGTAACCTCGTTAGAGCGTGTTTAAGGGATCCATGCTCTCAAATACGTGGGCGACATCCACCGGGACATCATTCGACAACTCTCGTGCGTTTCGAGTCTGTCCTTGGACGGTACCCTGTATAGCTTTGTTCTGCGCAGCGACGAATCCTCTCACAGGAAGGGATTTCGAAGGATGGTGTAGGGCTCTGTCAATGGCGCGCTGTCATTGTCCTGACGCACCATCGCTACCGTCTGTTACACCGAGGTTGTTAGAGGAGTAGACGTGGGTTTCACATGTGCGTACATTACACCATTCCATAGCTGGTTGTCTTAGATTCATGTTTGCCCATCTCCCTAAACCATCTGATCAGCCAAATTCGCAATGCTGTCATCTGTCCGTAAGCTTTTGTACGAAGGAATTTCCATCAAATCTGAGTAGAAATGGTTTTCTGGGCCTTGAAACTACAATGCTGGTCGCACAATAGGTAACCAAATTTCCACTTTAAGTGACCAACCTCATAATCCTATTGTTTGAGTTGATGCGTATGCGCATACATTTACCTGAAATCGTGATGGAACTCGTACCCTTAACACCTATTTGATATGGTGTCAAGTGTTTTTAACTCTTAAAGAGCAGATTTTAACCACTGTTATGTTAAAACGTGTAAGGAAATTCCCTTTTCCTTACTCCACATCCCTGCTCAACGCGTACATCACTGTAGCACCTCAGTCAGCACCGTTACCACTCGCGACCATCGCATCATTCATCATCCCGCCATTTTCGCACATCGCATCCCGACCTCACGGCTCGGCTGGTAACCCGCGCTCCGGGCCTACGCTTCGACACTTTCCCAACCTCAGTCACAGGCTCGTCACGCGACCATTACCGTTACCACTGTAGTTTCGCTATATATTCTTCGCTCATGCCTTCGCTCATTGTACTCTTGCTTCGATAGTGCAATTCTCGTTCGTTCACTCAATTGCACTCGTAACACTTGGTATTCAGAGCCTACGATCTCATCTCGGACCGCATCCACACCTTCGCTTCCCACTATCTCAATTTTTTTTGGGGGGGGGGGGGGTAGACGTCTCTCAGCGATACAGCACCGCCGCTCGTAGTGCTCTCTCGCAAGCACGCACGGCCACGACCGAGGCTCTCGCTGAGCTTGCCGGACACCCCCGCCATGGCCGATTTCACGCTCGCCACATTGACGCAAGAGCAACTCGATCGACTCGTGCGTCAACTGGAGGACTCGGCGCTCGAAATCGCGACTCTCACGGCGGAACGTGACTCCGCCCGTCAACAGTCTACGGTGAACGTACCGACAACATCCCACGCACCAACAAACGCATCTGCACATTCGAATGAGCCGATTGTAATCTCGTCCGGCACACCAACACAACATGACAGCACGGGACAACGCTCAAGCGCAGCCAGTGAGGGCGCCGCCCAGCCGGTGCCTGGCATGGGAGGAAACAAGATCGCACCAAGCCCACGGGAGCCTCGAGAAGTCCGTCGGCACGTGGAATTTGCGGCGACAAGTGGCGAACACTCCAACATGGCACCAATGCCGCTCAAGCCACAACGCCCGCCCTGCTTCGACCCAAGTCAACGCGGCGGTCCGACAGTTCAATCGTGGGTCTTCACGATGAACGTTTTCTTCGACGCCAATTACGTCGAGTCGGACGCCGCAAAAATCCGGTATGCGGTTTCACTGCTAAGGGGCCCCGCCATGGACTGGTGGCGAGTCATCGTGACGTCGCCACGCGCCTACGAGCCACCGTCGCACGAGGAAGGGCCCTCGGGTCCAGCTGTCACCTGGAGTTCGTTCTGCGAGACCGCCCAATACTGCACGTGGGATGCGTGGTGCGCAGGGCTTCGGGCGCGTTTTGAGCCGATCGCGGCTTCAATTTCGGCGCGTCAGAAACTGCGCACTTGGCGCCAGCTCGGGTCAGTTCAAGACTATACCAACGGTTTTCTCGCACTTTGCGAGCAGGTCGACTACATGCACGAAGCGGAGCGGGTGGACCGTTACGTCGGAGGGCTGAAGCCGGACATCTCGCACGAGATAATGCTGCGCGGACTCACTAACTTCAACGAGATTCTCGCGCTCGCCGAGAAGATCGACATTCTACGCCGACCGAGACCGGGGTCCTATTACGGACATCGTCCTCGGGGACCGACCGAGCACGCCACTGTACATGCCGTCGCAACGAATGCAGCTGCCGCACCGTTTAAGGGGCGCTGCTTTGCTTGCAACAGGCCGGGCCACCGCAAGAGCGAATGCCCAGAGGAGCTGAGACGCCGAGGAGCAGAGCAGGGGAGGGAGTCTCAGAGGCAGGGAAACGCCAGCAGTCAGTAGAAGTCGGGCCAACTACTGACGAGACTGCCTGCTCGCCCAACCACACCGACCCTCACCGAGTCACAGTACCGATTCACGCCATCGATCGGGCTCGGATGAATAAGGAGGGTACAGCGACGGATTGCCCAGTACTGATCTACGGGAAAATACAGGGAGCAGCA